CTGGCGAGTATTGTATTTTGTTGATGTTATGAAGATTACCATTTCATTTCCAACCTCCGTTTTGGTTATTCAACATTCAGTAACCCTTGCTAGGTTACAACTCTGTCTAACCAAGTCTGTTCATATCTATCTATCTATCTATCTATCTATCTATCTATCTATCTATCTATTCCTGTCTGTTCATATCTATCTATCTATCTATCTATCTATCTATCTATCTATCTATCTATCTATTCCTGTCTGTTCATATCTATCTATCTATCTATCTATCTATCTATCTATCTATCTATCTATCTATTGTCATATCAGTTAGTTATGTGCTATGCATGATACATGCTTAGGCGATCATGTATCTTTCGATACATGAATGACTAGGTAATTTTTCCCGCAGTAGGTTGCCATTTCTTTCTGCGGTAGAGCAGTTGTCATCCAATGCTATAGAACCCGGTATGTCCTGCTACTTACCCATAGCTGGGAAGGGGGAAGAATAAGGGGATTCATATATTTCCCAAGAGTATTAGCACGTAAGTGAATGTAATGAATTTGTTATATACCTATAAAGATTACCATTTCAATTCCAACCCCCGTTTTGGTTATTTCATCATTCAGTATCCCTTCTTAGGTTACAGCAGTTTATATGCTAGCTTGGAAGTGGGTAATCAATCCTTATATTACCTGGGAAATGAATAGCTAGAAAATAGGAAATCAAAATGTACAGGGTGTTTCAAAAAATTTGATATCATTTCGCAATCTAATAACTTTGTTAGATCTCCTTCAAATGACTTCAAATTTTAAGAGCATCTTTATGTTTAATGTTTGTTTTATGTTTTTATGTCTTTATGTTTTTGTGTTTTTCTTATTTGTATTTTTATGTTCTTTAATCTTTAATCTTTTTCTTTACAGGTATAAAAATGCTATTTACTAGAAGAGAAAAGGCGTTTTGTGTGTTGGAGTTTGCTAGAACACAGTCAAACAAGACTGTGCAGCGTGCATTTATGAGAGTGTTCTCTAGAAAGTCACCACTAGGGATGCAGATTTGAAGATGGCATAAAAAGTTCAAAGATGAAGGCTGTCTGTGCAGAGCAAAAGGATCCGGACGACCACAAACTTCACATTTGTGAAATCGTTCACATGATTCACATGCTTTTGAATTTTTCATTCAGATTTGGAAGAATAAATCTTATGATCTTCAACATTAATACTTTTTAATTTCATTTGCCTTAATCATGTACTTTCTGTGATAACTACATCTCAAATGATATCAAATTTTTTGAAACACCCTATATATAAGCTAGGAAATAACAAGTATATTTAATACAGCCTTGGAAATAGATCTATCATTATAATCTGCTAAATTAGAACTGCTACTTCATAAATATATAAGAAATAATACGTATATTTAATACAGTCTGGGAGTTATTATGTCTATCATTATAATCTGCTAAATGAGAAATCGCTCTACATATAGGAAATAACAATTATATTTAATACAGCCTGGGAATTAGAAGGTCTTTTTTAATTACAATCTGGTAAATGAGAACTTGATCTTCATATATAGCTAGGAAAGAAGAAGTATATTTTATACAGCCTGGGAAATAAAAACTCTTTCATTATAATCTAGTTAGTTTGTTGGTTGGCACATCAATGTCTTTCGTTTATTTAATGCTGGAATCTAAATATTTTGAAAACAGTTTTTGGGATTCAGCTACAAATAAAATGTATTGTTGGCCATTTTTCTATAAAATTGATTCGTGGTAATTCCGCTTTTACAATGTATTTTATTATAAATATCTATCGTTGGTAATTTTTTTTATATAAAAATGTATTACTGGTATTTTTACGATAAAAATGAATTTTTATACTTTCATAGCGTTTAGCGTGGGGGGGTCACTATTTGTCCATAGCTGGGCTCTAAGAGGTGCTACCACCCCGGGTCGGTGTAGACCTGAGAATAACAGCGGTTAAGAGGTGGTTCTATGCCCCTCAAAACCTCCAATCTCCCGATCACAGGCCTTGCTGATAGATGTCGTTTATCATCATACCCAGGACTATTTGGTAAATGAGAACTAGATCTTCATATACATCTAGGAAATAAAAAGTATATTTTATTCATACTGGAAATAAAAATTCGATATGAATAAACACTTGGAAATAAGGACGCGATTTTCATATTGTTGAAGAAATGAACACACAATCTTTATACGATCTGTGAAATGACAAGTCAAACTTTATAATACCTGAGGAAATAAGAATTCTGTCGTTATATGTTCAATGAGAACGCGATCTTTTTATAACATGGGAAAAGATGTTTGGATTCTTCGATATAATTGTAGATCATTTTGTGTATGTATGAAATATCAATCAACCTAAAGAAAATCTTTGTTGCACCTTGAAATTCGGTGCATTTTTTTCTGTTCGATGGCCTATCCTTCCACAAGGTTTCTTGGAAATTCGCAGAAAACATTTTGAGATGTTGTGTGTAAATAAGCAATTATTGTTGAATCCATAAGTTTTACGGAACTTCGGTGATGGAGGGAATACTTCCACTAACAAATTGATTAAAAATCAACAAACAGAACCAAAAAAACAAAGAAAGAGTGGGAGAAAAGAAAGTCTATACTAAAGAGTACTTATGAGGTAAAAGAAAGAAAAAAAGTGACATGATTTTTTTTCTTTTTTTTGAATTACCCCTTTCATTATTATTGAAAGGGGTAATTCAAAAAAAGAAAAAGAGGAAGAAAGAAAAAACAAACAAAGAAAAGAAAGAAAAACAAAGAAAGAAACAAACAACGAAACAAAAAATGGAAGATAACAAGCAACAGAATAAGAAAGAAACAAAGGTGAAAGCTAGTGATATAAGAAAGTGAGGGGCGTACCTCTCGGTGGTGTAATGGTTAGCAAGCTTGTCTCGCTCAGAACTATTGTGACTGAGTAGTGTTCAATTCTCACTGGGTACCCCATACTTTCGGCCTTGTGCCACATCTGAGCTACGCTTGGAAAATCACTATAAGAAAGTGAGTGAAAAGAGAAAGAAAGAAAGAAAGAATGGATAAAAGAAAGTCTATACTAAATGGTAGTAAAGAGAGGAAAAGAAAGAAAGAGATATGAAATTTAGTGCAATAACAATGAAAGGAATAATTCAAAAGAAAGAAAGAAAGAAAGAAAGAAAGAAAGAAAGAAAGAGTGGATAAAAGAAAGTCTATACTAAATGGTAGTAAAGAGGGGAAAAGAAAAAAAGAGATATGAAATTTAGTGCAATAACAATGAAAGGAATAATTCAAAAGAAAGAAAGAAAGAAAGAAAGAAAGAAAGAAAGAAAGAAAGCGACATAATAAAAGAATGAAACAAAAAAAATTGAAGATAACAAGCGAGAAAATAAGAAAGAAACAAAGGTGAAAGCTAGTGATATAAAAAAATGAATGAAAAGAGAAGTTCATTAAAAAAAGAAAGAAAGAAAGAAAGAAAGAAAGGAAGGAAGGAAGGAAGGAAGGAAGGAAGGAAGGAAGGAAGGAAGGAAGCTAATTATTTTATAAAGTGAATGTTGGAATTCCGAGCACCCGTCTCGGTGGAGAATATGGTGACAAGAAGCGAAATGAAAATCAAAACTAAAAGAGAGATAACGCTAGGTGGATTCGATGAAGAGGCGGGAAATCAGGCTGGACTGTCCATATTACGAATTGTGCACCTGCGTTTTCTTGCGATCTGACTGAGCTGATTGCTTCTGGCTAATTTTAAATCACTGCCATTGACATGTACAAGAAGGAATCTGTTTTTACTGTTGTTTAGTGTTTGCCTGGCACGGTTTGTGCGAAAGAGAAACACATAGCGTCTTGTCGGAAAGTGCGGAGAGAGGAGGAGCAGGAAGAGAAAGGGTCGTAGGGGAGGGAGAGATGAAATCGGCAATGGTTTGGGAATGATGGTGCTGTAGTGTTGATGGTTACAAGGGTGGGTACATGAAGTGGGTGAAGATTGTGATAATGATGATAAAGGAGATGGAAAGAAGAAAGAAAAAAAGGAGAAATTGAAGCAGCAGGAGGCGAGAGGACGAATATCGAGAAAAGAACGGAATAATGGAAGGAATAGAATGGCAAGGCAACAATGGAGAATATTGATGAAGATAAATGAATGGAAAAAGAAAGAAAGAAAGAAAGAAAGAAAGAACAAATGAATGAATGCAGACAAAGTAAGAGAAGACGGAAAGGAAAAAAGAACACATTAGAAAGAAAGAAAGAAAGAAGATAGAAAGAAAGAAAGAAAGAAAGAAAGAAAGAAAGAAAGAAAGAACAAATGAATGAATGCAGACAATATAAGAGAAACGGAAAAAAAAAGAACACATTAAGAAAGAAAGAAAGAAAGAAAGAAAGAAAGAAAGAAAGAAAGAAAGAAAGAAAGAAAGAAAGAACAAATGAATGAATGCAGACAATATAAGAGAAGACGGAAAGGGAAAAAGAACACATAAGAAAGAAAGAAAGAAAGAAAGAAAGAAAGAAAGAAAGAAAGAAAGAAAGAAAGAAAGAAAGAAAGAAAGAACAAAAATGAATGCAACAATATAAGACAATATAAAAAGAACACATAAGAAAGAAAGAAAGAAAAAAAAAAAGAAAGAAAGAAAGAAAGAAAGAAAGAAAGAACAAATGAATGAATGCAGACAAAGTAAGAGAAGACGGAAAGGGAAAAAGAACACATAAGAAAGAAAGAAAGAAAGAAAGAAAGAAAGAAAAGAAATAGAAAGAAAGAAAAAAGAAAGAAAGAAACAAAAATGAATGAATGCAGACAATATAAGAAAGACGGAAAGGAAAAAGAACACATAAGAAAAAAGAAAGAAAGAAAGAAAGAAAGAACAAATGAATGAATGCAGACAATATAAGAGAAGACGGAAAGGAAAAAAGAACACATTAGAAAGAAAGAAAGAAAGAAAGAAAGAAAGAAAGAAAGAAAGAAAGAACAAATGAATGAATGCAGACAATATAAGAGAAGACGGAAAGGGAAAAAAGAAATGATTATGAATGAAAGAAAAAAGAAAGAAAGAAAGAAAGAAAGAAGAAAGAAGAAAGAAAAGAAAGAACAAATGAATGAATGCAGACAATATAAGAGAAGACGGAAAGGAAAAAAGAACACATTAGAAAGAAAGAAAGAAAGAAAGAAAGAAAGAAAGAACAAATGAATGAATGCAGACAATATAAGAGTAGACGGAACGGGAAAAAGAACACATTAGAAAGAAAGAAAGAAAGAAAGAAAGAAAGAAAGAAAGAAAGAAATATAAAAAAGTAATAAAGAAAAAACGTGATTACTGAAAGAATGAGCGCAAAGAATGAAACTAACAAACAAACAATAGATGGATGAATGCAGAAAATATAACAGTGAATGAAATAAAGAGAAAGAGATTTTATTGGAAAGAAGGAAAAAAGTGCTTAAAAGTCTAGGTAGAAGACGATATCTGAAAGAAACGAAAAATGGGGATGAAGAAGGAAAGAACGAGAACCATAAAAGAAAGAAAGAAAGAAAGAAAGAAAGAAAGAAAGAAAAAAAGAAAGTGAAAAAGAAGAGATATAGGAAAGAAACAAATAAAGAGAGTAAAAATAATATACAAAATAAAAATAAAGAAAAAACGTAATGAAAAGCAGAAAGAAAGAAAAACATTTGATGAGAAGAAACAAGAAGCTACAAGCAATAAAAGAAATAAAAATGTATGAAAGAGAAGGTAAAAGACACTATCTAACAGAAATTATTGATTCTCATTGATTTGTCTGTTTTACGGCTTGCCAACCTGTTGCAGGTTATTTAAAGCCAGATTGTAATATTTTTTGGAGATAATAATGATTTACTGATATAAGTCTTACTATTTAATCCATAACTGGGAGGAAGTATTTTTGACATAATAATAATTTACTTATACAAGTCCTACCAGAGGTGGGGGATCCATACCTTTTCCGAAGAGAATTTGCGTGTAAATGAATATAACGAACTCGGCGGACATTAGAACTCGGTTTTCCGATTTCCAATTTCGAGCCGTTATCCATTACACCACCCGCACACTCAAATTTACAGCACCTCGTATTCCCAAACGGTCGTCCATCTAGGTAGTGACTAAGCTTGACATTGCTTAACTTCGGTGATCGAATGAGAACCAATGTTTCAACGTGATATGGTCGTAAGCCTAAAAGAAACGAAAACAAGAAAGAAAGAAAGAAAGAAAGAAAGAAAGAAAGAAAGAAAGAAGATAGAAAGAAAGAACAAATGAATGAATGCAGACAATATAAGAGAAGACGGAAAAAAAGGAGACATTAGAAAGAGTTGATTAAAATACATATATATAAGAAAAAAGAAAGAAAGATAACTTAAACGAAGAGGATATAAAAAGTAAGAAACAAACAAATAAACAAAGCGGAGTGAAAGATGTCAATAAAAGAAAGAAAGAAAGAAAGAAAGAAAGAAAGAAAGAAAGAATAGGACTATATAAGAAAAATGAAAGAAAGCGAAAAAGAAAAGGATATTAAAAAGTAAGAAACAAACAAATAAACAAAGCGGAGAAACTGATGTCAGTATAAGAAAGAAAGAAAGAAAGAAAGAAAGAAAGAAAGAAAGAAAGAAAGAAAGAAAGAAAGAAAGAAAGAGTGGATAAAAGAAAGTCTATACTAAATGGTAGTAAAGAGGGGAAAAGAAAGAAAGAGATATGAAATTTAGTGCAATAACAATGAAAGGAGTAATTCAAAAGAAAGAAAGAAAGCGAGAAATAAATAAATAAATAAATAAAGAAAGAAAGAAAGAAAGAAGAGGCACATATAATAAAACAAGAAAAAATCAAAGAGAAAAGGAAGAGGATAAAAAAAGAAACAACCAAACAATGAATTGGAAAAAAAAGACGATGGCATGAGAAAAAAAAAGGATAGAAGCAGACGTTATTAAATAAGAAGAAGCATTCTGAGAACAAACAGAACAAGATGTTATAAGAAAGGAAGACGGTAGAAAAATAGACAAAAAAAAATGTAAGACCTTATAAGGAAAGAGGAAAGAACGAATAGCAGAAAGTAAAAAAAAAAACTACATAAGGGAAGCATGGTGAATAGGATTAAAACGAAAACACCAGGAAAACAAACAGGGAAAATCCATGAGTAATAAGAGGGGGAGGAGTTGAAGAATAAGTAGCAGGAAGAGGTGAACCCGAAAGAGAAATTATTTCTCACCTTCGCATGGGAATATGATATGGCACAAGGCTGTTTTCAACGGGGAGAGCTCGCGGGAATATAGGAGGACCTACGAAAACTGTTTCATTTTGATATCTTGTAGGTGTCAACGTTTAACCATAACTATAGTTAGTGCAATGGAATAGTGCTGTCTCAAGAATCATTTTTTTTATTTTAGATTAAATTTCACGCCAAGTAAGGCAATAAAGCCACTAAGATACAAAACGTTATTGAAGGCGAAAGAATATGAAAAAAATAAAACGTTATTAAGGAAGGAGATTAATAAAAAATAAAAAAACAGGAATTAAGAATGCAGAAGATAACGAACGATGCCGCGTATAAATTTTTTAATAACAAAGTTCATTGGAAAGCCAGAGGCGCGAAGAGAGTTCCACAAGCGAGAAGTGCGATAGAATAAACTGTTAACATACAACTTACAGTTACATCTAGCCATTTCAACTGTAAAATGATGAGACCTAACTGCCAATCTAGTACTGTGCTTATTTTCTTTTATAGTCGAGGTATCAAAAAGAAAAACTTATCAGTAAATCTGAAACAATTCCCAGGAAAATATTTATTAAAAGTCACGGGAAAGCTACATTTCAATGCTGAGAAACTGATTGAAGGCGAGATGCCAGGTCAGGATTGATAACATTACAGATTCTTCTTTTTATTTTGTTAATATTTGGTTGGATTTATTTTGATCAGTAGATTTATTCTTTATGAATACTGTATAGTCGAGTGACCATTTCTGCGTTTTCGCATGGCTGGTCACCATTTTATAATCGGAAAAATATGTTGTACTTGTGTTTTCGAAGTGTTACTTGCGTATTGTTTTGGTAACTTCTCGTGTCGTATACGTAAGCCCTTATTAAAAAAAAGAATATTACCAATTTTTGAATTCGTTTCTGCAAACCCGAATTAAATTTCATGCGTTTGCTCAATCATTATCAAACATTTAACGATGTTAGATTAATCAATATCTTTTTTGCAAATGCTATATTTCAAATTTAAATATATGGTTACTGCATCAGAGACGCCATATGTAGAACGTTTTCACATAGTTTGGTAACGCTACCGGTTAAATATAGTATTAAATATTTTATACGCATTTTAAATATTCAATTATTTTTTATAATTTTGTCGAGTTAACTCGGACAATCATGAGTCTCTCACGTCAACTATCATCGTTGAAATGTCATTAGGATGGCATTCTGAGCCAATATAGGGCGACCAATCCGTCTTGCTCCATGGTCAGGTGTGTAGAGCAATAGATTACTCGTAGATTACCGGTTGGCTCGCCATCAGTATCACGCAAAGCGTATTATTGTAGAAATATCAAGGATGGGTCCATAGAGCTGTAATTTAGTTGGATGTTGTCTCCAAGAGATGTTAAGTATAGCTCTGAGCATCCGTGTGTAGGTTCCATCAAGCGTAGACTCTGTTGTTTTAGTTAATGTCCAAACAGTGACACCATGCAGTGGTTAGAAAGAATCTCCGTTTGAGGATCTCTGGAAGGTCAGATTTCAGATTACATCCATTTTATTGAAGGCGGACAAAGCGGAAACATTCAATACACGTTTTTTAAAGGTTATTCTTTAAATAAATTAAAAATAGCGCTTGTAGCAATAAGAAATAATTTCAGATTAAAAATCCATTTAAAAATAGTCTTTATTTTTCGGGTACGAAAGTGAAGTTTGTAGATTTCGATTCGTATGAGTTTTTCCTTGTACACGCTTAGGCGATCATGTATCTTTCGATACATGACTGATGAAGCAGATTTTCCCCCGCAGTAGGTTGCCATTTCTTTCTGCGGTACACCAGTTTCCACCCAAAGGCTATAGAACGCGGCCTGTCCTGCTATTTACCCATAGCTGGGGGGGAGAAGAAGAGGATTTATACCTTTCCCAAATGAATGTAATGGATTCGACTGGAATTCAAACTCGGCTCCCGATTCCTCAATCCAAATGTCCGGCTTACACTAGAGTCAAACGAAGCGCATAGATCTGGTTTCAGTCAGTTATGTACCATGCGTGATACACGTTTAGGCGATCATGTATCTTTTGATACATGACTGACGAGGCAGATTGTTTCTCACAGTATGTTGTCATTTCTTTCTAGAGTAGACCAGTTGCCATCCAAGGCTATAGAACGTTCTGTCTTGCTATTTACCCATAGCTGAGGGTCTTCCATGACCAAATTTGTAACGGAACTCTTCAGCTATAAGATCCTATTCTCTAGTGGAAGAACGGAATATGGGTTCGATTCATGTCAGGAG